ATATTGGTAAGGCTTCTTGCATTCGTTTTTCCCATGGATATGAAACGTAACCATCTTGAAGCTTTGCTCTCACTAGTGCTTCCACCATTCTTGATCCTCTTGATGCTGCATATCATTTTAACCAAAAATTCTTATTATTGTAATATCCTCTAATAATATTTTGGTTGAAATTAGTAATAAATAGTGAAATAGTACTCATTAGATTTTTTTTAACTTTCTATGTAAAATTATTGTTTTTATTTGCAGCTTTATACATTCTAATTAAAAGTTGTTCAAAAAATACATATATTATATTAAAAGAGAAGTCATGACTCACTTCATGTGTGATTTTTTTAGTTTGGACCATCCTTAGAAATTTTATATAAATTTACAAAACATCATTATAATATCTTTTTATATCTTTAATTTTTATTTGAAATACAAATAAATAATTTTAAGAAAATTCTAACAAAATCTTTTAAAAATCTTATAGAATCTTTTCAAGATATAGTTTCAAAAATTATTTGATTAAAAATTTAATTATCATAGAATATAATTAAAATTTAATTCATTTTTTTAACAAAAAATTAAAATTATGTAATATACTTTTAACAATATCCCAAAATTTTGTTTATGTATTATGTAGGTCCAATATAATTTACTTTTTTATATATTTAAAATTTAGAAATAAAACAAAATATATAAATTAGTAATGTTACATAATAATGTTTTAAAAAATTGTTACAAAAATAAAAATTTAGAAATTTTAAATTAATAATATTATAAGCTACATAAATATTATTATAAAATTAGATAGTATATACAATCAAATTATATTTATTTATTGATAAATTTTACTCCCTCTGTTATTTAATATATGATGTTTTGGATCATAGCATAAAATTAAGAAATTTACATTCTTTTACAAAAGTATTTTTAAAGATATAATTTTATAATCATTCGACAAATAATTTAAAAGAGTAAAATTTTATCGGTTGAACAGTTTTCAATAAAGTTAAAGATAACTTTAAAACCTCAAAATATACCTTAAAATCTCAAAACATCTTATATTTTGAAATAAAATAAATCTTATAAAACATCATCTATTTAAAACGGAGTGAGTATTAGATAATTTCAAATATTTCCGTATTAAAATACCCGCACGGTTGTGCGGGTCGAGATCTAGTTCTAATTAAAATTCAACATACTGTAAATCTCTCTTAAATTATTTGGTTAAGGTGGTGACATTTGATATGGCAAGTTTATTCCGAGAAAAAACATTAAAAATACAGAGAAAAAGTATCCATTTCTATTGCATGTCCAAGAAGAAACATTCTTAGTTAATTAATAAGTGATTATAATATCAACATTAATAAAGTGTACATATATAATAGGTGTCTTCCAAGAAAAAAACATATTTTCTAAAATATTATCATGAATAGTTGTTAGATTAAGTAATACTCTACCCATTTCATTAAAAAATGTCACTTTCCCACAAACTAAGAAAATGAAATACATTTATGTTTTATTAATTACATCTATCTAACCAATAACTGAGATAAAAAATTATTTATAAAATCAGTACAGTACCTAAATTATATTGAAATTCTAAAATAATACTTTTTCTATAGTAAAAAAAAAGAAGTTAAATAGCACTCTTTATGAAACATAGAGGATGTAGTAATCAATATGTATAAAACAAATTGATATTTTTGTGACAGTTTATATAACACATTGATATTATGCAACACAAAACATGTTTGTATGCGAATATGTGAAAAGATCATTTATTGAAATCAAAATTCTCTTTCTTGAATAGTTTTTTATTGTCTCTCTTATATCATAATTAATCATCATAATAATCATATACTAAGATGTAAATACAAATATTATATGATTGCAAGACAATACTCCCGTACGATTCCATCCAAAAGAGTACGGGGCTGTTCGTTTCTTCATTCAAATGATCCATTCGAATGGAGATGAGCTTTTTGTTCGTTTAGACACAAAAAGTACAATTCATTCAGATGATCCATTTGAATGATTTTTGGAAATTTAGGCTTAATTTTAAAGTTCATTCAGCTGAACGAATTTGGATCATTTGAATGGAGATGGTTCATTCAAAATGGTATAATGTCTATTATACCTCTGTTGTAATTCACAAATTACAAGCTTAAACATAAAATTATTCCGTGACACAAGAAAACTGAAAAAACCTAAAAAGTCTCGTTTTCCCATCAAATCCGAAAAATCTCGTTTTCCCGCCAAATCCAAAAAATCTCGTTTTCCCGCCAAAATCACAAAATCTCGTTTTCCCGCCAAAATCACAAAATCTCGTTTTCCCTAAAAACCGAAAAATCTTGTTTTCCCGCCAAATCACAAAATCTCGTTTTCCCGCCAAATCACAAAATCTTGTTTTCCCGCCAAATACGAAAATCTCGTTTTCCTGCCAAAATCACAAAATCTCGTTTTCCTGCCAAAATCACAAAATCTCGTTTTCCCGCCAAAATCACAAAATCTCGTTTTCCTAAAAAATCAAAAAATCTCATTTTCTCGCCAAATCCAAAAAATCTCATTTTTCCGCCAAAACAACAAAAATGCATTTTCCCGCATTGTTGGAGGTTGATTTAGTTTAAATATATTTTAGACTAAATAATATTAATTAGTATAGTTATAATTAATAACAAACATATGATTAAATCAAAACAAGGGTATATATATAATTTGTTTATCAAACTCATTTGAATGAAAAAAAAAAAGAAACAAACATGAAATTCATTCAAATTGTTCATTTAGATGACTCATCTAGATGGAAAAATGAACAATTCCTAAAATTTGGATGAATTATTTAGATGGATCACGTAGATGAATCAGCTGAATGGAGATTATAGATGGAGAAACGAACAGCCCCTACTATAATAGCAGAACAAATTGAATTTCAGCAGCTGGGAAGCACGATGTGATAATGATGCAGAGGCAAAAATCAACAAGAAAAGTCAACAAAAACAGATATTATTGACAGACAGTTAACTCACCTTGTATACCGAGGCAATCCGACTCAGTCCGATCCGAGAACCCGACTGTATAGTTCGGGTCATCAATGGATCTAAGCATGTACTGTTTTTTACCGGCGGAGTCGTTAGGAACAATACAAGCAGACAGATCGGAGAAATCTTGGGAGCCACGTCTGACTCTTACAACAATCGAACTATCTTTGTTCCTGTAAGAATTGTGTAGAACTTTCTGTAACCAAGCTTTACCTCCTTTAAACGGAGCCTTGAAAATAGCCGAACCGGGTCCTGAACCGATCCGGATTTCTTCAACTATGTCTCCAGTTTGAAGCATATCGCCGCTCCATTCTTCGCTTTTGGAGCTTCCTTTGAGACAGTCGATGGAGAGGACGACGGTGTTTCCGGGTCGGATTGTGGATTCGGGTTGGTGGGTGCGATCCATTGGCGATGTTATCGGGTTTGCACGAGAGAGAGAGAGAAGTAAGAGAAAGAGAAGAGTTTATATAAATGTGTTTTGTTGGGAAGTGATTCGATACGCGGAATCTTTGTGAAACTATACAAAGTCGTATTTGGCTTGAGAGATTTTATTCTTTCCTAGATTATTATTATTGGGATTATTGAACTCTTAAACAATTACACTTGTTCAACAACTAGACTTTTAAAACGGACTTTATTCTATATTGACCTACTCACTCCCATCTTCATTCTATTTTAACCCATCATAAATTTGATTTTTTTTTTTCTCAAAATCAAAACGTGATTAAAAAATCAATAACCCTTAATGAATTAGTATTATATGTAATATGAATTACTAGAAACTACTTTGAATTACTAGAAACTACCTTGAATTACTAGAAACTACTATGAACAAAAAACAAACTACCTTGAATTACTAGAAACTACTACGAACAAAAAAAAAAGTGGGCAGTGAGAAAAATAGTGGGGTAGTGAGAATAGTTATTTTCTAACTGGGGTATATTAGAATACTTTCCTTTTAAAACCTAAATTTATTTTGTGGAAGCCGGTTTGATCGAGTTACTGATAAAGATATAATGGAACATACATATTAAAGATTCGAGTTACTGTTTTTATCCCAAGTCGAAAGTACCTATCTAAACCTGATTGGAAGAAACCGAAATCGGATCCGGACCGTTATATAAAAATATCCGAATGAAACTTATGAATTAAGTATTTTGGAGTTTGGGTATAACCTAAACCGAACCAAAATCTAAATTAGGATCCGAAAATATCCAAAATTAGTTAAAGGTTATTTAGATATTTTATAGTATTCAAAATATTTTTGTAGTTTGTTTCATTTGTTATTTTTAAATACTTGTTAGTTAGTTCAGATAGTTTAACTATTTTTAATTAGATTTGTGAATAATTTATATATTTTGGAAAAAATTATCAAATTTTCAGGTTTAAAAAAAAATTATTTGATGTTTTCAGACATCAGTTACAATCGATCCGAACCGAATTCGGAAAGAATCGAACCGAACCCGATAATTAGTAAAATTTGAATGGAACTTATAAGTATAGTATCAAAAATCCGAAAATTTGAATCAATCGAACTGAAATTAGCGGGTCTCTGAACTCCCAAGCCTATGACTCATAGCCATTCATTTTTAACTGCGGTTATTTCATTATTTGGTTTATAAAAAATGTCAGTTTGACTGAAATATTTCAGTTCGGTTCGAAACTTAAGTTCTCCAGTTTATTTTTAGGTATTTTTTTTGGTCGAAAAAGCAAAAATAAAGAATAAAAATAAAATATATTAGGTTAATTATGATGGAAAAAATGGTGCAACTCAACTTAATAAAATTTGGTTTCTTTGTTTATGTTAAAATTTAAAGTATTAGGTTAATCTTGTGGAAAGATGGTGCAACTCAATTTCAGAAGAAAAAAAAACCCAAGAAAGAGTTTCAACCATTAGTCTATTTCTTGGGATTACACAAATTCAAATTATAATGTGTAATCTAAGACGGCAGCGCTTAAATGGTCTTCATCCTAATGGGTAGGAACAAGTTTCACATCCAAGTTTCATTTTACAAAGTTCCCGAAGAAACAATCAAGTTACTAGGACAGTCAAACTTGTATTTCTTTAGCCCTGAAAATTCCTCATTTAACCCAAGACTTGCAACAACAGCGCTTAACTGCGTTTTGACTTCTCAAGATACTGAAGTTAGGTCTTCAGGTCACAAGATAATGGAAACTCTTGGTTTCACTGTTGATAAATCCAAAGAGTTAGAGTTTGTCTTTGAATATGAATTCTAGATGAATAATATCTTACCTGTATCTTTCTCCATTAATAACATCATCAATACCATTAAAACAGAAACATTCTGTTTAATGATTTTTTTTTTTATATTTTCTAATTATACATTTATTGTTATATACAAATTTAATTTATTATTAATGACAATTTTGTTATTTTTATTTGAGCCTAAAAACTATATAATAATATATTTCATTAATGAACTGATTCTCTTTCAAATTTTATAAAATATTTCTTACAAAAATATATTTTCTTTGCAGGTCAGACGGGTCAATTTTTTGAGTCGTAAATGACTCAATCCGCTGCAGAGCAGGTCGGACGAAGCGAGTCTGACCCGCTTCCAAACATCAGACGTAGTTAACTGATATTATTTTTCCAAATAAAACTACACAATTATATACAATACATTTACATAGATAATTGATGATAATAATAAATTAAAATCTGCTTTGATTTTAAAAGGTTATATTAGATAGTGAAATTTTGTAACTAAATGATTTTATGAATTAATCACAAAATTTAAAAAATGGGTCATTTTATTTTTAAATATACAATCTTTCCCAAGTACAAATTTGAGGTACAACCATTGTTAATATATTTAGAAACATAAGAAATTTGTCTGAGACATTGTAAAATAAAAAATTCTTTATATCCGCATGATAACTTGATCTTGATTCTGTGACATTTTATATCATCAAAGCAAAAGACTTATCGATCCATCTATAGATAAAACAACAAAAAAGTACCCGCGCTTTTAAGCGTGGGTCAAAAATCTAGTATTCTTTTATAAAACTCTCCAAATTCATAGTTGTAGTTAGGCCAAGCATTATACCCAGGGGCATTTTACCGGACCCGAAATTCCAAACCAAACCGGTCTGAAACTGAACTGAAAATTAATAAGTAACGATTGGCACCAAAGTTACTCTACCCAAAAGAATCAGAACCGAAAATAACTGATCCAAATATATCTGGACCTGAAAAGAATTGATCCGAATATACCGACTCGAAAAGAACCGTTTTATACCCAACTTAAGAACATGAATATCCAAAGGTATAATCTCATGTGTTCTATTTTTTTTTTGTATTTTTGTTTATGATTTAGTTGAAATATCTTTTTGTTAGCAAACTTCATTATTTATAATATTTTTCAACCAATATAAAACTTTAAATGTCAACTCTAGAGGGTAAACATTAAATTCAGTTATTAATAGTTTAATAAATTAGTTTACAACATGTTAGATAAATATGATGGTTTTGGCCAAAATATTGATTGATTTTGGGTGTTTCAGGTCTTTTTAGATCCTAAATACCTGAACCCGACGTGGACCGGCTATGGATCTGAAAATTGGATGTATTTTACAGATATTCTAATTATAGACCTGAACTAATCCGGACCCAGAAGGAACTGACTTGAACCTGCACTGAAAATTTTCAAGTACCTATTGGATCCAAATGTATAAGAATCGAAGGATCCGGACCCGAAAGGAATCGATCCAAATCCGACCCGAACCCCCATGCCTAGATGTAGTTTGAAAAAGAAGTTTTTATGTATTTACGGAAAAAATATCTTATGAGTTTTATTGCATTGATTCTTAGTTTTGATTATCTGCGTGACCTTAAAGACTTTAAACTCAAGTTTCAAGAAAAAAACACTTTAAACTTTTTGTAATATGCCAAAAATGACATAAAACTTGATTTTAAATGTAAATATACTTCAAATTTAATCAAATGCAAAAATAAACCAAAAATAGTAAAATTACAATCATGTATTAAATTTTACCATTATAATCATGTGTGTGAGAAAATTTCCAGGGAAACTTCTCTGAAAGACTTTCCTGAAAGTTTTTTCATACAGTAGATCTTTTAAATAATTTAGACAATTTATCAAAATATTTATATGGGGGAAATTAAGATCTTTTAATTATAAACACTTTTAATTGAGATGAACTTAGATTTAGTAAAATTGAGTTGTTTTCATCATAGATGAGTGAATATAGATTGAATCATGATATTCTTTGGTTTAGTGATTGGTAACATATGTTATAGTATTGTTTGTATTTTTAGGGTTATATTTTACAATCTTCATTTTAAAAAAAATATTATTTTATGTGTTTAGTTTTGTCTATATTAAAGACTTTAAAAGTTAATTTTAGGTTTGATGAAGTTTTGGTGTTATCTAGTTAGTTATTTGATAATAAAGTTTAGATGACTTATTGGAAATGTACGTCTTCTGGATGAATAGTAAATTTAGGGTCTAGAAGACTTTCATGTAACTCTTCTAATATTCTTGGGAAGTCTTCTAATAAAAGACTTACATGAAAGTCTTATGAATTGAAAATATTTAACCTAATTAGAATTTGTGTGTCCATATATAAAAAAAAATTATACATTATCTTTCTTCCTCTCAAATGGTTGCGACAAAAGTGTAATGTTTCTCCCTGTAAAACTCTCAAACCCTCTCTAATTTCTTTCAAATCGATAAAACTAAGTCTTATATCAATTTCTCATTTTTCATATGTATTTCACACTAATTTATCTTGTTTTGCAGGTTTTTTCATTACATGGTTTTCATCTTTCACTCTTTTAAAGGTAGATCATAAATTTTAAATAAGTATTTTTGTGTTTGTTTATAGTTAGATTTAAGAAGTTGTAGATGTGACTGTTTTACTTAAACTATTAAAAGAGGAATACAAATAGGAAATACCCCTTAATTTCTTCAAAAATTACAAATTTATGTCATTGGAATTAAAACACTTAATTTTAAATGGGCTTGATAAAGATTTAAGGTCCATTAATTTTAAACCCCTTTTCTCAGACGACTTCTCGGAAGAGTTAACGCTAATTAAGTGCGAAATTTAAGTGGGAACTGAAAATTTAAGCGAGAAATGATAATTTAAACAGAAAACTTAATTTTTAAGTGAAAATTGAAATTTTAAATCCCCTAAAAGTTAAAAAGTATATCTTATGATCTAAGAAGACACATTGAACCACATGACTTGATATTCTTGAAGTTACTTAACACTGTTGACAGTTAAAAAACATATCTTGAAGTTATGAAAATACAAATTTTACAAACACGAACGTAGAATACTTCCACATAAGTCTTCTGAGAGAGAAGACTTCTAAAAAAAATTTCTCTCATTAACTAGATATATTAATAAACCTGAATGTTTATAACCTCAAAATTATCATCAATTCAGTTATGAATTTTATTTATGAAACCTAATATTTATTAATATACATAAATTAACAAGAAAATATTGCAAAATCTTTTTAATTTTAGAGAAAATGAAAGTTTATTAAATATTGACGTAGAAGACTTTCTCCGAGAATACTTATACGAAAGTATTTTCAAAGTATAATTCCATGGAAGTTTTCCATTAAGGTAATTTTTGCAATTTCAAATTTACCAAGGAAGACTTCTAGAGAAGTTTACTATACATTATACTTCTTAGGAAGTCTTCCTTTGTAAATATTTTCTTATTTTTGTATTTTTTTTAAAAAAATACTAGAGAAGACTTTTGATAAATTGTTTGGTATTTCAATTGACTGAAATGTGTCCGAAATTTGAATTTCTACAGAAGACTTACCTGAAACGTTTTCCTTTGAAGTCCTCTAGTTAAAATTAAATGTTTTACTTTTAATTTTCAATTGAAAAACTAACTTACACAGATTTTCACCGACAATGAGCATGCTTCATGTAACAGTTGAGAAACACTTCCTTTGAAGTTTTCCGTCAAGACATTTCGGGAAGTCTTCTATAGAAAGTCAAATTTATGCATGGCACTTGGGTCCTCGGGTCGGGTCTGGGACTTTCGGATCTTAGATATTTAGACTCCATAGGGTAATTATTTTTTTCGGTTCGATTTGGGTCCTATCAGGTCCGGGTCATTTGGATCTTAAATAGTTAGACTCAATAGGGTAATTAGAATTTGTCGGTTCAAGTTTGCTTCAGTTTCAGGTCAAGTTCAGTTTGGGTCAATGTTGCGTCCGGCCCAAAAAAATATACAAAAAATATCTGTAAATAATTAAATACTTGAAAGTATCCAAAGTTTTTACCCAAAATCTGACGCGAATACATGAAAATACCAAAGCTTTATCTGCTTATCCGAATTATATTTTTAGAAATATATAGTTTTAACTGAAACCCAAAACCATATTCGAAACCCCAAATCTGAAACTTAGAAAAATACCCATATAACCACTAATATACTAAAACACTAACATATACCTAATTTATACTAGAAATTTGAAGTATTTATTTCGGGTATCCTGTCGGGTCTCAAGTTCGGGTCGTGTCTAAAACCTACGAGTCCTGTACAACAGGACCCACAAGGGCAAAAAGATTGGTTCGGCTCCTACCCAAACTAAGATTTTTGGGTCGGATCCAGGTAAAATGCCTAGGCTAGTTAATTTTCTGACACAATTCAGTCAACTGTAAAATAAACATGTTTATCCAAAAAGATTTTCAGCGAAATTAACTCATTTTTTGTTAACAAGAAAAAGTTGAAAGACTCATAAGTCTTCTCTAAAAAATATACAAAACATAAATTTCAAAACTAGTATATGCATTGTTCAGAAGACTTCCATAAAAGTTTTTTCGGTGGAGAAAACTTCTGGAATGCCTTCTTTGTGAAGCAGATTCAGAAGAAAAAAAATCAAATATCATTCTTAAGATCCACAGAATTTCATGTTTAGATTCTCCAAGCATACATAACTTCTTAATAAAAGTTATCCATTCGTTATTCATTAAGAATCATGAACTTGAGTAACTCTAATAATTTATAAAATTTGAAATTAAAAAGTTGGAATTTTAGGATGAAATAAGAGATAAAGTGAAATGAATATGGTTTATGTGTGTAAGAAATATGAATATGAAGATATTAATGTCAGATGCATTTAGAGTTTGAAATTGGTTGTTCATGGTAGTTGGTGAATTGATGACAATGACAATACTGTAAATAAAAAAAAGAAGATGATGATGATGATCGAGTAAAAA